AAGAGATGGCTAATGAAAATCTAGAAAAAGAATCTGTGATCACAGAGAACCAGCATTACTTCATTAAGAACAAGCCAGGCCAGATTAACCTTATTTCCTTTGCTGACAAGATTGCTAGTCTGGTAGAGTAGGGGAATTCTGTATACAGCTTAGTGGATAGAGTGCTGGGCCTGGAGTAAGGAAAACTCATCTTCCTGAGTTCAGATCTGGCCTCAGATACTTATTGGCTGTGGGACCTTGGGCAAGTCACTTAATCCTGTTTGCCTCCCTTTCTTCATCTGTAAAATGAGCTGGAGAAGAAAATGGCAAACTACTCCAGTGCCAGGAAAACCCCAAATGGGGTTATGGAGAGTCCTTCATGACTGAACAACAACAACAAATTTTGATGTTTGTTTTTAAAAAATACGTGGCTGTCATTTTACAATGGGTGCTTTTTCTCCTGCCACAGAACCTGCCCCCTCATGGAGTTTAGCTGGTGAAACAAAATAACACTTTGACCATGTCTGACAATTTGTTTCATTCCATACCTGGAGACCATAATCTGTCTACTGAGAAGGAAGAGGGCCTGCTTTACCTGAATTTCACTGAAACTATCAGTAGTCACTGTGTCAGTCATAGTAGTGTTGTCTTTCAGTATCATACCTAGATTCTAGCAGAGTTTTGATAGAATATTTTTTTCTCTTCTTGTGGATGAGTGGAGAGATGTAAGTTAAGTATAATATAGCTAGATGAATTTGGAATTGTTTAAAAGACTGGACCCGAAAAGCAGTCATCAATGGTTTGATGTCATCTTGGAATAATGTCACTAGGAGTTCATTAGGGATCTGACCCATTTGTGTTTGGCCTTGTGTTTAATACTTTTTATCAGTAGATAGATAAAGCATTTATTAAGTGTTTTCTATTTTCTAGGCACTGTACTAAGCAGTCAGGCTATTAATACAAGCAAAGGAGACAGTCCTTCTCATAAGGAGTTTACATTCTAATAGAGGGAGATAATACATAAAGGGGAACCTGGAAAGAGGGGGTGGGAGAGAAGTCCAAAGTTGAGTTATAAGTGAAGAAGATGAAGAGTAGCTAGCTAGGTCTCCTCCTGAAATGTTGGTCAGGGCAGGTAGTTTCCAACTAGGAGGGCGGGACCTGCAGGTTGGGAAAAGGGGCTGGCTAATGAGGAGGATGTGGAGACTTGGATTAAGGCATAAATAACATGCTTATCACATTTGTAGATGGTACAGCTGGGAAGGATGAGTAAAACACTGGAAGACAGTTTTGATTAAAAAAGGCTAGAATATTGGGTCTAATCAAATAATGATGAAATTTAATAGGGATAAATATCAGGTTTTATATTTAGGTTCAAAATTTTTACTTCACAAATACAAGATTAGGTAGGTACAACTGGTCAGCAGTTTCTCTGGAAAAGATGTGGGCTTTTGGTGAAATGCAAGCACACTTTGAGTCAATATTGTGGCATCCAGGAAAACTAATACAACCTTAGGCTGCATTCTAAAGGGCACCGTTGTCTAGGGATAAAGAGCTGGTTGTTCTGTCCTGTTCTGCCTTTGCTCAGACTCTATCTGGAGTGTTCTAGTTGGTTCTGGGCATTTTGTTTTAGAAAGACAGTTGATAGAACAGAGACTGTCCAGAGGATAGTGACCAGGAGTTGAGGGCTTTGAGTTTATCCCATATGAGCATTTGTGTTGCAAAAATTGTGGATGTTTAACCTGGAGAAGAGAAGTCTTGGAGGAAACATGCTAGCTGCCTTCTGTTATCTAAAGCATTGTCATGTGGAAAAGGGATTAGATTTGTTCTTGAATGAAGGGTGGAAATTTCAAAGAGGCAAATTTAGGCATGGTTTAAGGAAAAAATTTCTTAACCTATCTTTCTGCAAATGAAATGGGCTGCCCTAGGGATAGTAGTAGCCCCTTCTCATTAAAGGATTTGAAGTGGAGGTTGACCGACCACTGGCTTGGAACATCATAGATGTGATTTCCTTTTCAAGAATGGGATAGCAGTCAAGCCCCCTTCCAACCTAAGAAGGCATAACATTGTCCCTGCACTGGAGAACTGTATCATATGATTAGGTAGTCAAGACTTGAATAGGAAGACAGGTAACAGCAGGGTTAGTGCCAAAAGTGTATTTTGTATAATAAGTGCTAAAAGAATATGTTTGAACTACCAGTTTGTAGCAGTCCGTGGCTTCTGGGCATATGGAGGAGGAGGGTGAGATTTGAAATTATTAATATTAGTATAGTTGGTGATAGTAGTTGTAACATAAGTTCTTTGTGTCCTTATACCTCATTCAAATTATAATAAAACATGTCAGGAAATTTTTGCTTTTATGTAACAAACTTTGTATTGTTTGCATTTTAGTAATTTCATTTGGATACAGTTATATTCCTATAAGGTTGAAGATGTGAATGTGACTTGGGGAGAAGAGAACAACTAGATTCAGAGTCAATTCTCTTCCCATAATTTGAAACATGAAAATTCAGAATTTTCATGAGTTTCTCATTTTGTGAGACAAATTCTAATTCCATTTATGAAATACTTCACAGAACAACCTTTGGCAGTGGATTCTGTTAAAGATTGAAAGCCTTAGCTCTGTTGCTGGGTAGTATAGCTCTGTGTTAGCTTAGTTTGTGTTTTGTTTCAATGTAGGTATCAAAATTACTTTTTTCCTTAAAAAAAAAAGATTGATAGTCAAGATTTCTCATTAATTCTGGTGGATCCTCCTAATTAGGGGAACTTAGGAAGTTTGAATAGAATATTCCTTGTTCCTGGTGTCTGTACTCAGAGACTATATACACTGGTACTTTGATTAAATTTTAACCCCTTCTTCAGAATTACAACTGTGTCTTTTCTTTTTCCTTTATCCACTTCAGCACTAAGTATAGTGCTAAACATATAATAGACATTTTAACAATAAAGAAAATAAGGATCATGGACTGGGCTAGAATGAATCTTAGAGATCATGTAATTTAATCTTCTAATTTTATATATAACAAACCTGCTGGGTCCTGGGAGACTGAGCCTTCCTGTCTTAATAAGTGTGAGTTCAGTTCTAGGGAGAGCCTGGCTCTGTAGAGAATGACAAAGATTTTTTTCTTCATTGTCACTGAGTCATTTCACCCTTGCCCCAGAATATAACTCTAGGGAAATGTCTTTTTTTAAAAAAAATCAATTTCATTTTATTTCAACTTGGCATGCTCTACCTCTCTTTTTTCCTCTCTACATTGAGAAAACAAGAAAAAACAAAACCTATTACTTGTATACTTATACAGTCAGGCAAAACAAATTCTTTGGGGACATATCTTTTTTTTTTTCATACTTTTAAGTTTAATATGCATTGTTAATATTTTATCCATCACTTTCTCAAATCTAGACAATCATCAAAACAGTAAATCAAGTCCTGGTTGGTTAGCATTTGCTAATTTCCAAGGTGTAAATGTTCACACTAAAAATTTAACAATGAGTTCTCCTAAGTGGTTGGAGGTAACTCCAGGAAACCCTTTGGGGACATGTCTCAAATAAATCTTGGGCATGGTTTATGTTTCTAGGGTTACCTCAAAAGGCATTAACAGGGTTCCTTCCAGAGAAGTACTCAGTATATTGTAGATCATGTATAGAACAGCTATTTATTTCATACTCTATCATTATAAAAATGATTAAAACATGGTTACTCATGCCTGTAATTTCCTTCTACTGGAGGAGGCTAGTGGATCATGAGTTTAGGGGTTCTTGTCTGTGATAAGGCTAAAGCCAATCAGGTACTCCTGTGGTGAGCCCCTAGGAGGTCAGGGCCACCAGGCTGCCAGAGGTGTGAACTGAACTGTGAACTATCAGTAAAGTCTGGCACTATGAGTCTATACTTCAAACTTGGGAGGGATAAGGAGACCTAATCTCCAAAAAAACCCAAAACGACCCCCCCAGACTCATGGGTACACATAGACAAAGATTTAAAACATGAAACAGTAACCAGTAACTCCTAAAACATGAAATGTTTTGTGGCCTACTGAACAGCCATTTTATCTTTCTTTTTTTTTTTGCTTTGTACTGTCGGTGCAACTTCCTCACAGTTTGTATTTTCTAGCAGTCAGTCATTTATTTAAAGCATTTATTAAAAGCCTGCTATGTGCTTGGCACTGTGCTGAATACTGGAGAATACCTTCCTTTTGGTGGTCATCTTCTCCTTTGAGAAGTGTTGTAACAAACTGAAGTCACCTGGAACCTGTAAATCAGTCCAGACCTCTTGAGTCTATGAGGTAGCCACTGAAGTTGGACAGTTCAATCTTGGGACCATTCTTTGGTCACATGTGCTCAGGGAAAGAAACACAAAGTAGAAGAGGCAGCTAGGATTTTGAAATTAGGTTTCAGGCTCACCCAGGTGAATATATGGTCTTCCTGTCATGTGGGAGCAGCTACCATAGCTTGGGGATGGGGAGTCAGAGCCATATCTTCAGAAGAGAGGAAGAAGGGAAGCGGAAGTTAGGTACCTCTCCCTTTAAAGGCTGAGTGGGCAGTTCTTGACTGCTCAGTGGCCAGTCCTTTTTACAGTGCCCCAACATGAGGGTCAGGAGGCAGTTGGGACCAACCAGAAGCATTTGGTTTTGAATGCTCCTTAGGGAATATGCCCAGCAGAAGGTGCCAAGGCATACACTTGGACCTCTAGAGGATGTTCTCCACTCTGGCAGATGGGGGTGAGAGTGTGGAGGGGGGTAGTGCTGATTTTCCTCCATTACACAGAGAGGAGAAGACAGACCCAGACAGGGAAAGTGACTTGCCAAAAGTAGTAAGTAGCAGAACCAGATTCTGAATGACCAACTTTGGATGCTAAAGCCGGATCCCGTTCCCACTTTTAACAGACTTAGTGAACAAAGCAATCACAGCAATTGCTAAATGCTGAAAAGTTTTCCCACTTTATCCCTAACATGTATATTTTGATTATTTGCTATTCCAAAGACAAAGGTTAAACTTAGTGGAGGTTTTTTCTTTACCATTTGCAGAATAAGGAAGATGAGGAACCAAAAAGTAAACACTTCAAAGAAGAAGAAGAAGGAGGCGAGAAACACAGGTAACAGATTTTTTTCATTTGCTTGTTTGTAATATATGGTAATGCATGATGTATGGTGACCTTTTGTATAATTTGAGGCGAAGCATTCAGGCAATTTAAGCCATGCTATGATCTGCTAAATGTTCTCATTTCCCTCCTTCCCACATCTACCAGTGTGTGTTAGAAAGAGCACTGTAATGAAATCTGGAAGCCTGGGTTTTGATCTTTGTTCTGCCATTAATGAGTTGTGTGACCTTAAGCAAATAATTTCATTTTTCTGATCTCAAAGGGATCTTTAGTTTTAATATTCTGTGATGGTAGAGGTGATGGCAGTGGCCTGAAGAGATAGTACCTATTTAGAAGATTTGGTGTTGCCTTTTTACTTCTAGACCTGACCCAGTTTCTTTATGCTCTAGGCTACTCTGTGTGTGCCAGTTTGCATGGCTGATTTAACTTTTTAGTATGGCTAGGAAAATTTTTGTGTGTCTCTCCCCTATGTTACAGGTAGAAAGAATAATAATAATAATAACTGACATTTATGTAGAATCATGTAGATTACAAAGCACTTTCACAAATGTATAATTTGATACTCATCACAATCCTGTCAAGTAGATTGCACAAATATTATTCTCCCTGTTTTATAGATGATGAAACTGAAACTCAAAGGGTTTAGATGCAAGGTTATAGAACTACTTAATGGCAGAGGCTTGATTCGAACCCATGTCTTTAGACTTCAAGTTCACTGCCTTTTTTGTTTCATAAATGCTGCCTTCAGGAATTAAGAAGATATATATCTCTATCTGCATAAGAACACTACTAAAATTCAGCAGTTCTTCATTGTGGGGAGACAGAGTTCGGCTCAGTGTAAGACAGATTTTCCTAACATGGCTTTCCAGAACCAAAACAGACTGCTTCAGGGATTCATCATTTCCTCATATTATTAATAATAAAAATAATGGATGCTTACTTAGTACTTTAAAGTTTACAAAGTGTTTTATGTATATATCAATTACATGTACATATGCATACAAACATACATTAAAAAATCTCACTTGCACCTCACAACAACTCTGGGAGGTAGATATTTCAGGGAGTTTATCTTCATTTTTCACAAATGTGTTTAATAGAAAGTGATGCTTAGAAAGGTTAAGTCTTTTGCATATGATCACACAGGTACTCGGTGCTAAAGGCAGGATTTGTACCAAGGTCTTTCTGTTTCCAAATCCATCACTAGCTCTCCTGTAACATGCTGCCTCATTGTGGAGTGTTTCTATAGGTCTTAGATGATCATTTTTTGTGGCTGGGATTCATGATTTTAGTTGGAATTAAATTAGGCGACCACCAAGATTCTTAAGAGTTGGAAGAGATCCCTGTGGTCAGTTAGTCCTGCTCCCACAGAACTCATGAATCTCATCTATCAGCACTGATTCTCTAGTAGCATATCTGGGAAGTGAGTGTCTTCACATGAATTTTGAGGATAATTGTTGTTCACTTCTTTAAAGGTATAAAAACTTTAAGAAACAAACTCATTTTTGTAGCTTCACATGCTTTCTGCCCTCTTTAGTGAGGATCTGGAACATAATTTAATCTTTGCTTGATGACTCCGAGTCATTTTTGGGAGCACTAATTATTTTAATTTGCTGGATTATTTTAATTTAATTTGCAACAGTGTGTTGAGGTCTTACAGAGAGGGCTTCTTTCCACTCTACTTAACAAAGAATCCTAATCCAATGTATTTTAGAGTTCAGAAGATCATCACTTTAGATTGGAAAGAATCTTTAGAGGTCATTGAGCCCAACTTCCTTGTTTTACAAGAAGAGAAACCTGACACAAAGAAAGATCAAGTAATTTGCACGAGGTTAAACAGGTACTAAGTGACAGAGCTGGGATTTGAATCCACTTACCCTTACAAAATCCGGAACTGTTTCACTGTGCCTCCCAAGAATAAGAACGCTTGTTTCTGTTGTCAGCATTTAGCAATTGCTGTGATTGCTTTGTTCACTAAGTCTGTTAAAGTCTACCTTTAGCAGCCTCCTTTGTTAGCAACCATAGCTACTTTTTCTTTCCAATTTGGTGCTTTTCAGCTTCTATAGACTGGGAAATCAGATAACTAATGGTTTATAAGACTGTGCCTAAAATAGACTTTAAGTATAGAATCTCCAAGGGATCCTCCTGTGAGTAAAGTATGTATGTTTTTGGACTTCGTGATACTGATGTGTATAGGAAGATACTGAAAATATGGAGAAAGATTGTATCCTTTCTAGGGGAGTATAATGAGGGATAGTAAAAAAACAGTTTTGAGTGGTCTCCTCATCAGATTCTCACAGAACCACATAGATAGTGTATGAAATAACAAGGCCATTTGTTGATTTGAATGTAGTCATAGAGACTTAGGTTGTTTTCCTATAACAGAGGCTATAGGCAGGCACGACCGGCAACAGCAAGAATTTAAAACACATATGAGAAGTCTAAAAAGCATGATGAACTCAGGCCATTTAATGTAGAGGCAAATGCCTACTTATCTCAAGTATCTCTAGTACTGTGGCATATTATTATAAAGTCCACAAAGTTCTATTCTTAATGCTTCATTGTGGTATGGTGGTAACTGGGTTCTTGAAGGCTATGCCTGTAAAGCGCAACTTTGGACAGGTTCTGCCATGCTGTTTCTGCTTTAAATGTTGTCCTGGCAACAGACTCTGTCTGCTTTTTGATTGACCAACAGCTAAAAATGGAGAGATTCATCACTGATAGGCAGTCCACTAGTTTTCTGACCATAGCAACTCATGAAACAAAGAAACATACAAAATGGTTCTTAGTCCTTTGCGGCTGCCTTTCACTTCTGTGGTGACAGGGCAGAATGGTGGAAAAGGTGACAGACGATACTAAGAGTCAAATAGTGTTAGACTATTTATAAACCTTACTCAGCTCTTGGTACTTGAAATATGAGATCCTCGTCCAATGACTTGGTAGTCATTCTATTGGAGGTAGACATACAACTGGATTATAATCATAATCTATCTTGACATTCTCATTATAAATGAAACTAGAAGACAAAAGGATGTTGCAGCTAAATTGAAGACTAGCATACAGGTTTTCCTTAGGCAAATAGAGTTGGTAGAGTTGATTTTATTACCCTTCCAGAGGCAACAAAGACCATGATTTCATGGGATATTTGGTCGTCTAGTATTGGGTTGCTTATGTTAAGTATTTGCAGAGAGGCTACTATGAAAATAACTGGAGCTTATGTACCAAATACATATCGCAAGAGGATCAGGAGATAGAGAAATTCCGCGAATAACTTGATAAGACCGAATGAAATAGTGACATTTGATTCTTCATGACATCAGTGCAAAGGTAGGAATAGAGGAGGACAGCAAAAAATAGTTAGGAAAATATGGTTTAGGATTAAGGACCCTTATGAAATGATTAGAAAGCAGATTGAAAAGTCTCAGCATCATTAGATGTGAAGGAGACGTATCAAGGTTATCTAGTCCATCCTTCTCTTTTGAGAATTTAGAAAAGATTGAGTGAGCCTAAGTTGATTAGGGGTAGTTTGAGTTTAAAAAAATTTTTAAAATAAGTTTTTATTGATGTCTTTTGTTTTTTATATTATCATAACTTTTCCCCATATCTTTGTCTCCCCGAGAGCCATCCTGTTTAACAAATAGTGTTTTTTAATGATGAGAAAAAAAAGAAAAAGGAAAAAAATTGACCTGATTGATACATTGAAAAAGCCCAAAAATATGTGCAATGTTTAACACTTTTAGACCTCTCACTTCCATAATGGGGTGGGTGAGGGTCCTCTCAAATCTCTTCCTTTGAGTCATGCTTGATCTTTAGAATATTGTTATATTCACTTTTGACTTTTGGTGTGTGGTTGTTCTTTCCATTTATCTTGTTGTAGTTATTGTGTGTATTGTTTTCTTGGCTCTACTGACTTCACTCATACTTATTCATGTAGATGTTTCCATGCCTCTCTGTATGCATCACATACATAATTTCTTACAGCACAGTAATACTCTATCAAGTTTATGTCCCACAGTTTCTTTAGTTATTCCCCAATTGATGGGCATCTACTTGGTTTTTAATTCTTATCTATCAGAAAAAGTGCTGCTGTAACTATTTTGGTGTACATGGTATATAATGACTTCCTTGGGATATAAGCCTAGTAAGGGAATCTCTGGTTCAAAGGATATTTGCATAATTCCAAATTGTTCTCTAAAAGGGTTGTATCATTTCATAGCTCCATCAACAATATATTAGTATGCCTATCAGCCCACAACCCCTCCAACATTACTATTCAGATGGTTTTTAAAATCTCTAGAGGAAATTCCATAAGTCTCTCTTATTTATCTTTTCCCAGATCTTTCCCAGGCTTTGTGTCTTCTGTGTGTTAATTTAATATGGTATTTCATTTTAAGAAGCCCATACAGTGTCTGACCTTGTCAGGTCAAAGGAAATCAATACATGACTTAATAGAGACCTATACTGTCATAAATATAGAAAGTAGCCTAGTCCTCTTCTGTCTCCTCTCTCCCTGTGATGCTGTGAGTCCTGCTTGTTCTGTCTTCCACACTACCTGGTACTTAGTCCTGCCTTCAGTCTGGACAACATCTGCCCCAGTTCATTTACTTGGGAAAATGTTATTAAAAATAGCCAAGGAAGCATCGGTAGAGAAACTTACATTCTAGAAGCACCTTTCACTGACAAAAATCACGGGTTCAGTTAAAAGAAAGTGGCCAGGGAAAGAAGATGATCCCATTTTCTTAATGTCACATGGTGACTGTACCTGTCCTTTTTGGTTCACTTTGAAGTTCCACCATTTCTGTGAAGCTTGCCTTGGGCTGTTATTCAGAGACAAACTGATCACTTCTTTCATTTCTGAACTCCATTATACTTAGAGTTAGTAAGTAGGTGTTCTACAAAATTCAGCATTTACTTTGCTTTCTGTGTATGTTTTGTCATCTTAATTAAATTGTAGGTTCCTACAGAACCAAGTCATATACTACTTGTGTCTGTCA